AAATTTTGTATAATGCCGTTGAGATTTGAGGGCAAAAAAAAAAAAAGATTCAGGAGCTAAAAACCTGGCACTTACCATGTCTGCTGCAATCCTACCCACGCCTGCCTCTCCCTCCCTCCATTTGTCTTTGCTGAAAACCTTCAGCCCTGACCGGAATCTCACCGACTCTCTATTTGCTTTGATAGACTTGGAGGAATAAAACCCACATGCGCCATCTCCATATGTGATAACACATTGAGGTTATTGGACTTGTTCCCGGGATGTGTTTACTCTTGTCTGTGTGACAGATTAGATGTAATTTTCGTTTTAAACAGCTAAGTACAATTAAGAGGTTGCTGATGATGATCGTGGGTACAACTCAGAGAATAAACCCTGGGAGTGAATCCTACCACCCTACTAGAGATGGGGAGTGAATCGGATTCTTCCCCAGGGCTTCCAGCATGCAAGGCTTCCCAAGGGTCGGTGCAGATACACCCCACAGCTGGCCTTGCGGGTGGTGGGGGAGGGGGGGGCGTGTAGAAGGGGATTAGTCTTGGATTTGTTATCATCACCTGGCTTCTCTTAACACCTTATAAAGTTCAGATAAAAGTTATCTAAACATTCCATGGGGTTAGCTCAGACTTGACTGAGGCAACGTTTTGTCTAAAAGAATTCCTGGACTGTGGGTTTAGGGTCAAATTAAGATAGTGGATGAGCTCCTAATGGAAAGCTATGTTCACTTGCCCCTGCCCCCACCCCACCCCCAGCCACGTCCTGGACAGCTATCGCTAGAGGTGTCAGTTACCCCCAAATTCGTACACATCATATTCTTGGCTGCCTGGCGAGAGGGGTGCTATTCACCCACAAAGCTCCCTCTTCCTGCTGCTTCCATTAGGTTAAACCAGAGCAAACTGCCACCATTCTTTTCCCCGAGAAACAGCACTTTCCTGGGGCCCCCTTTTCTTATGTCCCTCCTACTAACTGAAGCCCTGCTCGCCTGTCTTTATTCCCCTCAGCAATTTTCGCAGGGAAAGGCCTTGCTTTCGCATCTGGATGATACCTGCAACTATCTCCTAACCAGTCTTGCCTCCTCCTCAGCAAGCTCTCAGATGATGGAAACCCTTCAAGAATTCTCTACAGCCTTGATAACGAAGTATGCCCTCCCTAATTTGAGAATACAAAGGAAGTCCTTCATGGTCTTCCCCTGGCTTGCTTTTGCTCCAGCCGCTCCCAGTCCACACTCAGGACTTGGACTTAACTTTCTATTGTCTGTTTTCGAAATGCTCTGCCTTACTAATCCCTAACTCCCTCAGTCTCATTTGGTCTCATTACCATTGACAATCATCTCGGTTACTACAGGCTGCCAAAAGCTACCCCTGCCTCCTCTCTATACCCCTCACTCTCATCTGGATTAGAGCTCCTTCTCCCTGGTTCATCTAATATTCCGTGGTGACGATAGCAATCCTATCGTCACCACATACTCATCCACCTCCTTCACTACACTATAGATTTCTTAAATGTAGGCATTACGTCTGATTCATCTTTGCACCCTAAGTACATAACCTGGTGCTTATCACAATGAGTGTGCCTAATGAGTGTCTGATGAATGGACAGATGATTGAATACACTGCAGTGCTACCAAGAGATGAAGGTAGTATTTGAAAGAGGACACACACTCACTGCAAAACTTTGAGGTCAAAGAACTTCTCTAAAAAACACTGATCAACTTTTTCTGTTACTATTACACAGTTCATACTGTTATTGTTTTTTTTAAATCATTTTATTGGGGGCTCATACAATTCTTATCACAATCCATATATACATCTATTGTGTCAAGCACATTTGTACATTTGTTGCCATCATCATTGTGAAAACAATTGGCTTTTACTTGAGCCCTTAATATCAGCTCATTTTCCCCCTCCCTCCCCACTTCTCCCTCCCTCATGAACCCTTCATAATTCATAAATCATTATTATTTTGTCATATCTTACACTGTCCAACGTCTCCCCTCGCCCCCTTCTCTGCTGTCCATCCCCCAGGGAGGAGGCTATACATAGATTCTTGTAATCGGTTCCCCCTGTCCACCCCACATTCCTTCTACCCTCCAGGCATCCCCACTCTCACCACTTGTCCTGAAGGGGTCATCTGTCCTGGATTCCCTGTGTTTCCAGCTGCTATCTGTACCAATGTACATCCTTTGGTCTAGCCAGATTTGTAAGGTAGAATTGGGGTCCTGATAGTGGGTGGGAGGAAGCTTTTAAGAACTAGAGGAAAGTTGTATGTTTCATCTTTAATACCCTGCACCCTGACTTGCTCATCTCCTCCCCACAAACCTTCAGTAAGGGGGTGTCCAGTTCCCTGCCGATGGGCTTTGCGTCTCCACTCTGCACTCACCCTCATTTACAATGATATGATTTTTTGTTCTTTGATGCTTAATACCTGATCCCTTCGACAGCTCGTGGTCACAAAGGCTGGTGTGCTTCTTCCATGTGAGCTTTGTTGCTTCTGAGCTAGATGGCCATACACAGTTCATATTGTTGTGTAAATGCTATTCCACAATTGCTATTGTTATGATTACATGATTGCTACCCTGTGAAAGGATTTCTGACCATCAGAAAACCTTTTGTTTACCTTATCTAAAACCATTATCTAATACACCTAATGGCCAGAACACTCAAGATTTGACCCCTCCACTTCTAGGGAACCTCCAGAGTCATGTACGTCCAGTCCCGTGGTTCTCTATTCTAATGGTTCCCTCGTAACCTTAAAAATGTAATGCAGCTCCTAATGGCCTAATTTACTATCAAACAGGGCTCTGGACATTGGAGAGAACAGAGCTCATTAAAATTTAATTTATTCCATTCTCCTTATATAAACATTTATTTATATATGCTCCTGCATAAAATGTGTAGGGTCCATATGCAGAATTGGTTGGAAATTGCAAACTCATCGGGAAGGCTATTGATGTCCAATCTCTAATATACCTTTTAGTCAAATCACAATTGTTTCCAAAACTCTCATGCACTGAAGACCACAAGATTTAGTCCAGGGCTCTTGGTTCACATTTTGGGCTTTCTACATGCTGGTCCCAGTTTAAGTTTTCCAATCATTTATTTAATATGGACCAATAGAATCCATGTTCTTCAATCAGGTAGACTCACTGGCCATAAAGAACCCACACGCTTTTCCCCTGCGGTCATGCCTTGTGCTGGAATCACCCCTGGAAATCTCCCTCCATAGCCCCCAACCCCCAACCTTAATCTGTGGAACAGAATTTTGGTGTGACACCGTTCTACATCTGCTTTTACTTCCTCTTTTTGTCTCCACCAGCCCTAACTGTCATTGGGATTGCTAGCTATACATTGTACTATTTGTTAACCTCCCTCGTGTCTTTGGTTCATGTCCTTAAGTTGCTGGCATGATCTCTGGGTCCCGCACAGCAGTGACTCAGTGAGCTCTCAGTAAAGAGCTTCTTCTAATGGACCTTGATCATGTCAAGATTCCGACAGTTCTCCTGGGTAATGGAGAACTCCTAACCCTACCTCATGCTCCAGAATGTGTTCCATAAGCCCCTAGCTTTCTCACCTTTCCTGCTTACCCACTGGCCTGTCTCCCACCATCACGCTGCTGCCCCAGCCACGCCCACTAACCCTGTGAAAACAGCTGCAGCGGGCAAACTTCTCCTCAAACTCAGAGAAGTGATCAAGAAACAGACACTAACCCAGAGGCCCACTGCCTCAAGTGGGCTCCACCGCCTGGTGACCTCACGGGGGGGCAGAGCACAACTGTGCTCCATCGAGTTTTCAATGGTGAGTTTGGGGAAGCAATCTGCCAGGCCTTTCTTCTGCTGTGCCTCTGGGTGGAGTCAAACATCAAGCTTTTAATTTGTCGGCAGGCACGTTAACCCCTGTACTCCCCAGAACTCTAGGTAAGCCACTAAACGGTATGTTTCCCTCTCCAGAACAAGTTCTTTGGGAAGGAGGGTTTCTATCTTACTTTTTTTCCCCTTGTATAACAAGCATCTGACATTCAGAGGCATTCAGAATTGTTTGTGGCATGAATGGATGGATGAACACAAACACTGCATACCCTCTTGGTCATTATTCAAATTCTAGACTGCTTTCCTAAATCATTTCAGCCTGAGATTGAGTTTCTAAAATGAGAAGGAAAAATGCCATCTCCTGAGACAACCAATCCGCGTAGAGGTTAATCCCCGAAAGTGTGTGCCTGGGCTGACAATAAAGTTTCCCTATAGAGGGAGGAGGTAATATAGGCCTATGGAGTAATTGCTTTTACGATAGATTTTGCCATCTTGAGCGGAGGGGTGCCAAATGTATGTGATGTACTATTATTTCCAACCCCCCAAACTCACTGCCATTGATTCGATGACAATTCACAGTGACCCTATAGGACAAGGTAGAACTGCCTCTGTGACTTCCTGAGAGTGTGACTCTTTATGGGATTTAAGAGGACCACCTTTCTCCCAGGGCGGGGCTGGGGGTTTCAAACTGCTGGCCTTGAGATGAGCAGCCTAAGGCATCACCACAACGCCACGATTTCAGTATTTCTTAATGTGAGGTCCTTCGTTTGTTGTTTCTCCTTCCCCGGAATCTCAAAGCACTGCTATAAGATTCCACTGGGATTCACTCACTCTCATTGCCATCGAGTCACTGCTGACTCACAGTGACCCCGTGGGTTTCTGAGACTGTAACTGCTTATGAGAGCAGAGAGCCCAGTCTTTCTCCCTGGGGGCCGCTGCTGGTTTTGAGCTGCCGACCATGCAGATGGCAGCCCAGACAGTGGGTAACCACTACACCGCCAGGGCTCTTGGATTGGAATCCACAGAGATGTACTAAATGCCTGCCAGAGGGCAAAGAGGTGAGTTCCCAAATATAAGAGACAAATGTCTTTAAACAAAGAACTTCTAACCGGATGACAAAGGATAGATGTAAGAGTCTCCCTGAGCCCGCGACCCCAGCACTGACCTTGGCTTGTTGAGGACCAGGGAGGAGGGCACTCACCGGCACAGGATCCCCCGAGGTTGAGGAACTGCTGTTCCTTGCAGGCAGTCCAACAGCTTCCCCCCACAAGAGCGCCATGCGGGTGACAAGAGGTGCAGTCGGAGTCTGAGGGGCCATGGCACTGCTTGCAGGTTGGGTGGCATTCTAGGTGGAAAAAAGCACCAAGATTGGAACGAACAGTTCTGAGTGTGAATTCACGATGCACTCAATCTGCTTGGCCAATTCCAGAAGGGCAGCCTTTCAATTCATCGTCTTCTGAGAACCCCTGAGCAAGCCTGCACGCCTTTAGACTCAAACAAAACAAAATCCCAAAATCAAACCTGCTGCCACCGAGTTAGTTCTGTTACAGAGTAGAACTCCCCCGCCCCGGGGGCGGGCGGGTTGGAGGGCTGTAATCTTTATGGAAGCAGTTTTCAAAGCCTTTCTTCCATGGAGCTGCTGGGCGGGCTTGAACAGCCAACCTTTCGTTAAGTAGCTGCTTGCAAACCATTTGTGCCACGAGGTTCCAAGACACAGAATTTACAGTGGCAATGAAGAATGAAGGGGCTTCAAAAAATCCGTGAAAAGATGGAATTACATAATAATGGAATTTTCCACGGACTTTTCGAGGCTCCCTCACTCATAGAGCCAAGGACCGAACATCTAGAGCCAGAAAACTCCGAGTCGGCAGGCACATGTTCCAGAGGGGCCACCCTGGCCAGCCCTCCCTTTGCAATCAAGTAAGTTCGAACCAAAGCCACAAAGTAGCAAAGTGTGCTGTAAGGCTCCCCCCGAAAGTCCCAAAGCTGAAGGAGAGGGCCAGACAAAGATTTGGAGGAGGCATTTTGCTCTGCAGGGATTCCTGGCAGACAGGGAGGGAGCCACAACCAGAAAACAATTCCAAAACTCGAATTGCCAACCACACTCTACCCTCAGCCCCCCAAACTGGATGTCTCTTCAACAGCAAACCTTGGTTATGACTTGAAGAACAAATCAAAGTCAGCTCTCTTCCTGGAGGTTATCATGGACTAGGTCTAAAGTTCAATTTCTTAAATAAAAGGATGCCAAAGTTATATTTTTTCCTTAAACCCCCACGCACTTCCCACTATCAAATTAGCAAAAGGCACTACATTTGAAAACCAAGTGAGCCACGTTAAAGTGGAGGTACAGAAGATAAGGATGGGAGGGAATCAAAGGAGGGCGCAGCTGCAGCTGCATTCACACTGCCAAGGCAGGCAGCAGGGGCGCGAGCGTGGATGAAGAGGGCAGGCTTTCTCTGCCAAGGACCAGGAGGCACCTCTGCTTCCAAGAGGAGGGAGGGGAGGGGCTGGAGCTGCACAGAGCTTGCTGAACTGATGGCCAAGAATTCTCCCCGGCACGTAGCTGGTGGGAAGCGAAAGCAGAGATTTGGAATCAAGTCCACTGCCTTCTCATTTCTTCTGGCGTGAAGCCAAAAGAAGATAAGGAGTTATTTAAAACAAGACCAATGAAGAGCAAGTACCTCAGAAAATGAACTGCTGATTAGAAGGATGGCACTAATGATAGCTCCACTCTACATTCCTGAGGTTCTTAGCTGGGGAAATGCCTGGCCGAGAGATACTAGCCTTCTCAGAATGATTTCGACAGCTCGATGTCCCTCCCTGCTGCAATACTTCCAGGGAGCTGGGTGCCCTTCCCTAGTGGGCCCGTCCATTTGCTGGTTCTTAGTGGACGATGGAGAAGTGAGCAGAGGAGTTACAGCTGCCCTGACTCCGCCCTTGCAAACAACTCCACGGCCAGGAGAGCCACCAGCGCTGGGAGACAGAGCAATCTTCCTGACAGACATTGGGCAGAGCCCACAGAGCTTGATAGAGGGTGTCAAGGTAACCTGGACCACACGGGATTGGGGAGATTAAGAAGATACTTGGAGAAAGTTAAGAGATTTCCAGAAGAACAATATTGATCTTCAGTCGCCTAAATTTGTGTCCGCACTAAGTTCCCCAGTTGGAGGAAAAGCTAGAGAAATCTACGAAACAATATCTAGAAAAAAATATTTTTGTTTTATAAATCCAGTATATATTCTCTGATTCCAGGTCCATCATGTAAGATAAATACAGGACGGATTTTTCTCTGTTTTGTCTTCCTGGTAGTTAACCTCCCAGTCTATTTTTAGAAATAAAATAATCTTGATAGAACACGTTTGGTTTAGCGTTGTTTTGTTTATTTCTTTTCTCCCTGTGGACACAAGAAAATACAGTGCTACAATAAGGTGCTTTAATTTTAGTATTTTGTCAATTCCAATAAACTCCTGAACTTAACTAATACATTTGAGGATCTCTGTCACAGAAATATAAAGGTACTTTTAAAGACAAACTGGACTAACGTGACAGGGAAGGAAATCATTCCCCTTCCTCTTGCTCTACTCTGCTCGAGCCAAGGAAGCAAGGCTGAGAACTACAGGTCTAATGCCAAGTACCTGCTCATGTACCCGTGTGCCTGTGGCAGGGCATCTCCAAGACAGCCAGCATTTGCTACGTCCCACCCTGCAGTATGCGTTACCTATTGCTGCACCTGCTTAAAGCTAGGCATCCTGCTTTGGCTAATCAAGCCGAGCAGATGTCAGAGTGTGATCTCTGGGATTAGAGGTCATAAGAAGCATGAAAGCTACTAGCTCTTGGAATACTCACTCTGAGAGAAAGAAGCCAGCCAACATAAAAGAAGGCTTATCATTCTCTGAGACAGCCATGCTGTGAGGAAGTCCAACGAGCTTCAAGAAGAGGCCTCAAAAATGGAAAGATGTCTAGCCAACCCAGGTGTCAGACATGCCAATAAAGAACTCCCCTGTGCTCATGTCTAACTCTCTGGACTGTTTCAGTAAATCCAAGACTCATCCCCGGTAAGTTCTGTTCCAAAAACCACCTTCGTTCACTTCTACCTTGCTTAAAAGACTGAAGAATGATCAGTTTGGGGGAATAACTGGTCTTCACCCAACGTCTTTGGAAGCCATGGGGCTGAAAGCTTGAGAATGCCAAGATGTCTGCTTTCCAATCAAAAATGCTGAACCATGTGAGAATCCAACCTCAGTAGTGATCGCATTCACAGTGATTCAACAGTCTTCTCCCAGCAGTTTCTAGACTTCTGCCATGGGTTCTCCATTCATTGCGGCTGACAGTGTTCCTCTCATGGCTCATTTTTGAGATCTTCCCAGCCTTTCTTAAAGTACCAGATCCATCTAAAACCTTCTATTATCTGGGGTCGGCGTTCCTGTAAACTTGTTGTAAAGCGTCAATGGCTTGGGATAATTTCCATTTGGATATTTTAAGAAATTGATATTAGCTGTTACTTCAAATATTTTTTTCTCCATGGCACAATTTTTTTCCCTTTTTCTAAAGGTCCCATAATGCGATTAAGACAAGTAGCTGACTGAAATAACTTGTCTGCAGCAATGCACTGCTCCGAGAGACAAGCTCAAGCACATTTTATTTGTAATAAACTCATGCATGTCTAAACTGGAACCCCCAATAAGCAATACTTTTTTACTTTCCCTTGAACAGAGTGTGTGTGTGTGTGTGTGTGTGTAGTCCATGACATGGGAAATCGTTTATAACATTGGGGAAAAGAAATCAGAAACAAAATTTTGAAGTTTGGAAATACCCATGACAACAAATAGCTATGATAAACTGACGTCTGGTTCTGTAAAGACATAAAGGTCATTATTCACTCCCTAAGAGGTGCTATCTCTTCAGATCCTGGCTTCCCAGGCCTGAGAAAACGTAGCTTAGAGTTCTCATGAGAAAATACTGGACTACTCAACCAATCTCCTCTCAAGAGTGAAGCTATTCTACCTTTGACTTCATGCACTGCTTCCTGCTGGAGGAACGGTCTTCACTGGCTCTCCTTATTCTATGTCATTCCTCCTGCAAACTCTGGGCCAGAATCCACAGCCTCACCCAGGCCCCCTGGTTTGATATGTTCCTAATTACAGTACCTGTCTGAACTGTGAAGACAAAGACAGGCATAGGGAATGCTCAAAGGGCATATGCGCAGCATGTGACATACTTACCTGTACACCTGCCTTCCTGGTTGAAGTACTCATCTGGGCAATGGGAGAGGCACTGGCCATCCAACAGCACGTGGGAAGGCTGGCAGGCTGTGCAGTTATGCAGGCTCTTCCCTGCACACCTGACACAGGATTGGTGACAGGCTGGAGAAAGATAAAGCAGAGGAGATGATCAGAAAAACCGCCACATGACAAGTACGGCACGTCTGCCTCACTTCAGCATTCCTGGATTGTAGTAAGTTCTGCACTCACTTGGACCTCCTTATAGGACAGGGCGCACACTCTCAGACGTCTTTCTAAAGGCAATCGCTGGCAACGTGGGCATTTGGAAGCTTCATTTTTGATTCTTTGAAGGTTAATATTGTGCCTACTCTACAATGAGCTTCAGGAATACACAGATGAAAAGAATAGCCAACACCTAGTCGCAACAACACATACGTAGCAAAGAGTTGGAACACAGTGGAAGACTACTGAAACCGAGTGGGAGGCAAGATGGTAACACTGAGAATCAGAGTGCCTCACTGCAGTGAACATGACCTTGACTAAATTACAGCCGCTTTCAAAGCTCCTTCTTTCTCACTTATAAAATGAGGACATAAACAGTACATACTGCACACAGTGTTGTGGGCACTAATTGGGCTGATGCATGTGAAGTCCTTGCATTCATAGGAAGCCCACAGACTACTGATTGATGACTAAGGCCAGTTCCCTTTCTGACTGAACAGCACCTTTCCTGTACTGAGTGCTTATCATTCCCCAAACACTTCACAGCTTCCAAGAACTTCCTACCTAGTCAAAGGTGTTTCTTCCCATGTGAAAATAGGACCTACATCTCATATTTTAAATTAACTTTTAACCTTCTCTCTTTTTAAAGATTAACTTGGTAACTCTTCTCTTAGCTTAAGTCACAGTTAGGGAATTTTCTCCAAGTATTTTCAGAATACTTGGCAAGGAATATTGAATGTGCCATTGATTGTCAGAAGAACAAACAAATGTCCTGTGGGAAGGACAGCTTCTTAGAAGTGAGGAAGGCAACACTTCGTCTTGCTTACTCGGACGTGTTATCAGGGGGACCAATTGCTGGAGAAAGACAGCTGTTTGATAAAGTGGAGGGTCATCAAAAAGGAGGGAGACACTCGAGACAGACTGGCGGTGGCTGCAAGCCTGGGCTCCAAACAGCAGTGGCTGCGAGGACGGCGCAGGGTCAGGCAACGTTGCACTCTCCACGCATGGCGTTGCTAAGGCTTGGAGCTGCCTTGATGATGGCAGACAAAAATTTTCGAAATCACAGAAAAAATATATCTTCTTTATAAAACAAAATGGAATAAGTGATACTTAAGAAAATACTATTACAAAAGGCACATATGAATTTGTTATTGAAGACATTTTTTAACACAGAACCACGTCATGGAAAATCGGGTTGCAATATCTGAAGGAAAAAAATTCCAATTATATTGTCAACTCAAAGCTTCCAAAGATGATTTGGGAAAGCAACTTGAAGTAACATGATAATTTTGAGAATGTAAACATATTTAGGAAAATATCAATGTGTTTTTATTAGACTTGATAAGATTGCTAAAATCCCTGCCTCTTCCTGATATAAATCCGTATTAAGCAGGAAATCAATGTGTATCATTAGGGAATTGAACAACAAACCACGGGGAAAGATGGAGAGGGCATTCTGAGCAGGCACCATTATTTTGTTCCCCTCCACTTGGTCACACAGTCATGTGACACCCTGGCTCAGTGAGAGTGGCAGTCACTACTAGATTCTATAGACAGGAGGGCAAAGAAGAGACACAAATGGAAGGTGGGTGGGCCAAGAATTCTCGGAGAAAGTCTCGTTGCTGAAGATGCAGCCTCTCAACCTTAGCCACCCACCAGCTTCAGAAATCAGCCCCACTGAGAATCACCAGGGAAAACTTCAGAACTGCCTTTATGGGAAATGTTTGAGAACCAAGTGCCTAATGAGCTTGCTAGTTACCGTGGGTCACTAGCTGGTAACCGTGGGGTACAGAGAGGAAGTCTATGCCAGGCGATCATCGTCTCGCCGGGTCACCTTCTTGAGGATCCTGTTTCTGTTAAGGCAGGAACTTCCACCCGCATCTCTTTGGAAAGATCTCGTGAAGCTTCAATTCTGTGCTGCTTTCCAGAATGTCCACAGGGTTGCAGGGCCTCTGGTGAGGCATCCTCATTCCACGGACGTTGATAGGATAGAAGAAGTTCTGCTCTAAAGTCTAAGATCCTTCAAGGAAGACTAACTCCGTTATCGGGCAAACTGGGAAGAGATCTGAAAGGACTGCTATGGGTCATTCCCCTACGTAATACTACATTGTGCGAGTGTGACTTTCCACTCCATGGCCAAGCATATTTCCAGCCCAGTGCAACCGAGCCACTTCAGATGCACCGTGTCAGCCCTGAAAGTCTCCTCAGACGGCGGTGAAGCCCAGCCAACCTGACGCCACGAAAGAGAACTACTGTACACCTAAAATAATGCAAATACACCGTTCCTGCTCATTCAATTCTCTATTTAAATCTCTATCCCCCTTTTTAACATTTAACATTGGGGATTCACCCAATGAAAAAGTAACCATTTGAATGTGAACAATTCAATGATATTTAGTATATTCCTCTGGCACCACTCTGAAGGAACACCTCCTCCCCTTTAAGGCACTACTCTCCATTATCCCAGTCCTCCAGGCTCCCAAGAACCACAGTGTGAACACCTGAGCATAAACAACCCAGGCACCAATCTGCATTCTGCCTCTCTGCATGTCCCTATTGGACCTGTTTCATCAAAGTGGGATCTACCACATATGACCTTTGGTGTATGGCTTGCTTCATTTAGTGTAATGTGTTCGTGGCTCATTCATGTTGTAGCATGTACCTGAACTTTACTTCTCTTTACAGCAGAATAATACTCCACTGTTAGGACATACAAGGAGTGGTTAAAGCACTTGATTGCTATGATCGCTGAAGACAAACGGGTGCACAAGCAAATGTGGTGAAGAAAGCTGATGGTGCCCGTCTATCTAAAGATATAGCATCTACAGTCTTAAAGGCTTGAAGTTAAACAAGCGGCCATCTAGCAGAGAAGTAACAAGCCCACATGGGAGAAGAACACCAGCGTGTGTGATCATGAGGTGTTAAGGGAATCAGGTAACAGGCATCAGAAGACCCCCCAAAAAACAATGTTGAGAAACGAAGGGGATCGGAGCAGAGACCCCAAGCCCATCTGTATATGATGTATACATAATAACTAGTCATTTGTACCATCCATAGATAAAAAATTCAATGAGTAAAGTCAATTTTTTTTTTGGGGGGGGGTCTTCTGATGCCTGTACCTGATTCCATTGTTGAGAAAATCAATGGTCTCTCACCCTTTCACTTCTTCCTCCTTCCCCTCTTAATTAACATGATATAGCCTCCCTCCTCACTCCACCAGATTTAAAGTCTTTCAAAGTAGAAACCATATTGTTTTCAGCTCTGTGATTTAAACAGGACCTGTCCTCTGTCCCTGACATGTCAGAACTCAGTAAATGAGTTTCTGAATGGGTGGGCAAGTATGCAGGTAGATGGAGGGGTGGAAACAGCGGCCTCACACTCTCTTTTTGTTTACATCAAACTATTTCTCTCTCTCTCTCTCTCTCTTCTCTCTCTCTCTCTCTTTCTGTCTATGTCTCTCAAAAATGTTGGCACTTCCTAAAATGCCTCCCTCCGCTCCTTTCTCTCTTCACTCTTTAGCAAGCTTACTGGTGCCGATGAGTCTCATATGTATGAGTACTACTGTGGCTTTTACCCTGAGATCAGCGGTTCTCAACCTGTGGGTCACGCTCTCTGAATTTTTTTTTCTTCAGAGATATCTAAAGGATATCTCTCTTGGTGTTTCATAAACATTTCATTCAAATCACTTCCAAAAATATTACTCATTATCCAATCCCAAGCTCAGTTCATGACCATTTGATGTTGACATTACATTCTTTGTATAAAGCCCCCCCCACCAAAAAAAACCCCACACTTGGTATCCACCCACAAGCGCATATCCTCCAGGCTCAGCCTGGTCTTTCCATTGTATTCACTCTCTCACTTGGTAGCCACACCAAGAACGAGGTCCTTAAAACCTTGGAGTCATCCTACATTTTTATCTTTCCATCATCAACACCATCTAATCAATCACCAATTTATCTTGACTTTTGATTCGCAAATCTCTGTCAAATCTATCTCAATTTCGCTATCCTCATTATTGCTACTTTCCTCCGGACCTCTGACATCATACATGATGGGGATGTGTGCAACAGCTTCCTAACCAGCCCCACGGCTTCCCTCTGTCAGCCTGTGATACAACCACCAGACAGATGTCTCCACAACACAACTGACCACACTAGTCACCTACGGACAATACTTCAGTGGTTCTCTAATAGCAACAGGAGAAAGTCTAAACTCTTTACCAACTGTCTTCCAATTGGCTCCAGAGGAGAACTGTGCTACATAAGGTTTTCAATAACTGCAGACTGCTAGGTCTTTCTCTGCAGCACCCACTTTTCAATGATTAGTCAGACTCTTAATCCTCTGCACCACTCAGGGTCTCCTCTAAACACCTTGATATTGCTCAAGAAGCAGCCAACTACATGATCAATTCTTCATGTGGGCACAATGTACTCTGTGAGCACTGACCTGCAAGAACAGTAAGCACAGGACCCTTCTCCAGACACACCGAGCCTTTCTTTGCATCCTGTCTCCTTCCTCAGCCTAGAATGCCCTTTCCCACGCTCTTCACCCGCTCAACTCCCATTAATCGTTCAAGTGCTTAATCATGGAAAGTTTCCGTCGGCGAATTTGTCTTCACTATTCTCTCCACTTGGTTTTGCTGTTTCTGTCCTGACATCTACAACCATTCCAGCATGTGCCTTACTCTTTTCATTACTTGCTCAGATGTCAGTCTCCCTACTTGATCAGGCATTCCTCAGGGCATGGCCCATATCTTTTTCATCTTTCTACCCACAAAACCCGGCACACCCATGCTGTAAAAGCAAGAACGGGGAAGTGAAGAAAACGGAACATTCCCAGAAGGCATGTAATTGCATGTATTTGTACATTAGGGACTACATTAAAAAAGTGTTGCTTAATATAGATTCCATATGTTT